CGAGATGGGTTTTCTCCGCAGGGTGGCTGGTGTCTCCCTTAGGGATAAGGTGAGAAGTTCGGTCATCCGGGAGGGACTCGGAGTTGAACCGTTCCTCCTTCGCGTCGAAAGGAGCCAGTTGAGGTGGTTCGGGCACCTAGCTAGGATGCCACCTGGGCGCCTCCCTAGGGAGGTGTTCCAGGCACGTCCAGCTGGGAAGAGACCAAGGGGTAGACCTAGGACCAGGTGGAGGGATTATATCTCTTCGCTGGCCTGGGAGCGCCTTGGGATCCCCCAGTCAGAGCTGGTTGATGTGGCCAGGGAAAATAAAGTTTGGGGCTCTTTGCTGGAACTGCTACCCCCGCGACCCGACCACGGACAAGCGGGAGAAGATGGATGGATGGATGGTATTTTGCTGGTGAGAGATTTTTGTTGCTTTAGCGTGAAGCTAGTAAGCCTACCATTTGATTTGTTTTAGATCGGCACAACATGTTTCATATGCAGACCTTATTTTCCTGTTCCATGTTCAAATCAACCATTTTCAGTGGTACGCTGAGAAAGAGTAATGTTTTTGGTCATGGAAAATTAGGTAAAGGTCATGGAAAAGTCATTGAAAATCATTGGTGAAAAAGTGTATGAACCCTGCATTAAGCTAATGTCAAATGGGACATATATATTTTTCTTTTTTAAATACTTGTGCAATTTAGTATCTACAGTGCCTACCAACCATAAACGTTGTTGTGTAGCTAACAACAATTATTGACCATTCAAATATAAATAGAATATTTTTTAGTGATATCATTAAAATGTTGGGGTAATGTATGACTTGTGAGCAAGTTGGCAGTTATTCATTTCAATTATAATAACTGATAATCAATGAAAATGTTAGCATGAAGCCACTGGCTTCCTTCAGTTTTTCTCTAGTAAATAATATCTATATACTCTTTCTCAGTATATCTGTTAATTAGTTATGGCCAAGGAGCCATTCAAAAAGCTCAAATATAACAAAATAAATAAAAGCATTGCATAACAAAGTTTAAGATTGTTTAATCCGTAAAAAAAAAAACCTTAAATTGAATCTCAAATAGAGCTTTGGGGTTTAACAGGATGCATTTAAGTTTAGGCTGAACCCTCACCTAGCACAGCCGGGCATCTGTTGGGACAGATGGTTCAAGTCAACTCAGCAGGCTTGTTAATAGCTTTAAGTTAATCTTCATTTCACTTGGACCGTAATAAAAATCATGTTTTTCTTTATTTTGGTGAAATCTGATGTTGTGTTTCTATTAGAGAACTCACTGCAGTCGAAGCATGTTAGCCTCTGCTGGCTTGGATTTGTATTTTGTGTGTTGGGCTGAAGGGTTGGATTTCTCTGTGCGAGGTATTGTTTCCCTCAGTCCCGCGTGGTCAAGAGGATTCAGGGATTTTGAGATTTGCTTTGTAGAATTCATTTCTTGGGAACAAGCGGTTTTAAAACAAATGCAATTGAAGCAGCTTAAGGAAAACGAGCTCTGTAACTGCACTCCTGTTTGCTCATGGTTTATTAAGCAAGACTCTTACATTTTGGAAACAGTCCTTGCCTGATCCTGTTGGGCCCGCTAATAGGATTGTTGGGAGTCTTAGTGCAGCACCAAAAGCTGTCTGGCTTCCATCTCCATTAAAAAAACATGATCCAAATATTTCCTTTTTTTTACTGTTCTTGTAAGAATTTGCTTTTTAGATTCTAAATGGGCTATGTAAGAAGCATACTCCTGCCTCCTGGTTTTTTTTGTAGCCCAGTAAAGCTTGCTCTGGTAGAGAGACAAAAACACTGGCAAAGTAAAAATAGACTGTGGGAAACAGATAAGGGCAGCGAGAGATGGAGCCGTCCCTTTTGGCCAGTGGTTAAGTTGATGTCGGAGCCACAGTGAGACGCAGATATGACACACAGCTCTTGTCACATGTAGTAACCCCTCCTTCCCCTCTGTGGATATAAACACTGCGGAGAGGACTTGTTGTTGGCTCCACGGGGCCGACCTAGTTCCCTCTGGCAGCTAAGGTCACATGTCTTGTGGCTGTGGACTGTGAACAATGAACTTGGAGGATGTAACAGTAAGAGCTCAACACCTACAGTGAGCAAAGACGGGGGGCAAACGGAGTAAAACAAATAAATAATTTGTATCATTCAGTTCCAAGACAAACTATCTGAAATCAAGTTATCCAACACTCGAGCAGCTGAGAATCGTCCCCTGAGCGTCAGTGGTGGTGGTGTCTGTGGTCAGAGGAGGCAGCTGGCGCTCCTATTAGAGGTATTAGCTCAGTGCCCTCAACCACAGCCGCAGACCTATCTGCCGCACTCATTTGCAATGGAAAGAAGCAAAGCCGATTGGGGCCTGTCTGCCGGCCAAGGATGTCGGTTATAGGAAGAGAAGTCTCTGTCGTCACCCACTGTGCAGGCTTTACAGCTCCCTGTTTACATGAATATACAGTAACGTCATGTGTGTGTGCTCAACCGCGTGCAGGCTGCAGGATATTTATAAAGATAGACTTTGTTTAACCTCCTATATTCATCAGGGGTGTGTGATTGATTTGTGTTGAGTACAGTTTTTTTTGTTATCATATGCATGTGAGAGAGGTAATTCCTCAGTGTTAGTCCAGTCACAATTATTACATTGTGAACTTATCATACAATAGCTGCCTTGATGATTTTTACTGACCTTGATATTGCCTGTTCGGCACATGCGTGTTTGTAAACTTTACATGTTTAGCTTAAAGTGGACCTATCATGCTATAGTTGAATAATATATTGTAGGGCCATACCTATATAAAACATGTCTGTGAAGTTTTTTTTTCAAAATACAAAACAGATCATGCATTTTAGCCATGCCTCATTTCACTCTATTTGCTTTTTTCCAGCCCTGTTTTTGCAAGGGCTGATTCTGTGAGAAGTCTTCTTCGCTGCTTTTGTGGCAGACTACAGCGCCACTTACAGGCCTGGCATATGTACTACAGCGTCTCCAGCGCTTTCCAGCAGCAATGGCCGTGGCCCAACCCCACATTCCCCTGATAGGTGGAGAGTTGCCCATATAGGCGGAGCACCCCTTTTCTGACGTCAGAAAAATTCAAATCTGTACCAGTCTGTATCAGCTCCGTTGCAGCCCCGTTTTTAGAGATTTGGGTATGGAGGAAAAGAGAGAGGGTTGTGTTTTCTGACACATGGTGAGTTCCCTGACACACCGGGGACACATATTCATGTATAAAAGACGTACAAAAGTGCATTTTGCATGATAGGTCCCCTTTAAATACAGCCAGAATAAACAACGGTTTCCCCCACGTTTAAGGCATTGCTCAGAATTGAGAATTTTTGCCCAAGATTACATGGGCTTAAGAATCAAAGTCTTCTGATCTTTGAAAGGCAGTATTTGCAGAATTACGCTAGTTTATTATCATATCAGTGGCAAAAAGTGTTCCTAATATGACAATAATATTGTTTATTAAGTATTTCTGAGACACTTGCTGTCTGTCGCACGCACGGATAATTAAGTTTAGATTTAATAAATAAAAATGTTTGGATCGATTTTTATCTTTTACAGGTGCTCAAAGACAAAGTACACCCTGTACAGCGAGTAAAACTCTAACACAGAAAAGACCTGTCTATGCCTCGTTGGAGATTTCTCATTTTCCATTGTTTGCTTCCTGGGTTCTGTGACGTGTGAATACCCAAATTAACAACAAATCAACAACAAATGACCGGATTGGCCCAAATGGACCAATCCGCGGAGCACCTCACACACCAGGATCCCTTGGCTAACTAACAGGGAGTCCCCATTGACTTGCATAGAGCTCCCTGAATGCAGGTAATAGACGAGTTGGGATGGCGGAGAAATGCTCTCCTCAGACCCATTCTCACAGCGTTATAAACCTTTTTCTTACTCAATATCAAGCCACACTTATTGTTTTTACTTCGGCTGTGAGTGTTTGTCGGTGCTCAGGATGAGTTTTGCTTGTTTTCGCTGCATCGCCGACACGGAAACCTGTCCGCTCCTCGCAGCAGCTCGCAGCGTCCCGACCAATCAGAGCACAGTGGGCTCACAGGGGGGGGGGGGGCAGGAGCTCCGACAAGCCGTTTAGGACAGAGAGTGAATACACATACTATACAGAGATGCTGTATGAGAAACCAATGTGAGTTTGGAACATTGAACAATTTTAATCTATTCTAGTAGACCTCAACAATGGAAACATGATCAGTAGAAATGGCCATGACATGGGACCTTTAAAGGTTTTACTGCTTTAAGGCTGAAGTACTTGGCAGCATAAAGGAAAAGTTTGTCTGAAGGCATTTGAGTGGCTTTATCTTTGCTACCTGTAGGAACTTGGACGTGTTTTTCGAACCCTCCTCGCTGGAAAAGTTGTTGAGATGTGCACAGTGACTTTTTCACACCGTGCTCTCTTTCTCTGCTAAGACATTGACATGTATCTTTGTTCCAAAGAACAGAGAGTGCAAACAAAACAGTGTTTGTTTAGAAAAAGTCTCCAGGGGACCTTTAACATAATGCAATTCCTCCGAAATATAGGCAAACATATTTCAGCATGTACTCATTTGGAGTTGACGAGGATTTAAAAAATGATTCAATCAGGACTCGTAATGGGCTGTTTGTGTGCAGTAATATCCTATTAACTGTATCTCGCTAAACATTATTGTCAAAGCTTCCCCTCTGAGAATACACTGAACATCTGTAACGCTGCATTCCCACAATGAAGCCTGGCGCCCTGAGTTTGCAGCAGGGACAACTCGAGGGGAAAATAAGGAGTCCAACAACAAACAACATCTCTCTCGTCATTAAAGTTAATAGATAATAGACTAGTTTCGATGCCTCATTTTATTCCTCACCTCCAGCCAAATGTGTGTGTGGGACTGTGACAAGGTGGATAACAAGTATGCACAGCAGATACTGGGAGAAAAGCACCCCAGGGCGGCAGTTGCTCACATTCTTGTACCGTGTATCGTCTGCTCACATTATGTTTCTCTCTCTTTCTCATTGCAGTCATTTCAAGGCAGTCAAGGAAGAGCCTATCTGTTTAATTCAGTGTAAGTATGAGACCCACACACACACACACACACACAATTTCCACATTCCAGACGATTATTTATCAAAAATGTCATTGTGTAAATATCTTATTGAAGCCACAGTAGTCAACCTTATATCATTACAATAGCAATATTAAGGTTATTTTCCCCATATGGTCAAACTCACCATATCTTACAACAGTAACTGTGCCGTAGTTCACCAGTGTGCTCTGAGAGATCGTCAGGTGTGCCTTGGGATATTGTCCAATTTGACTTAATCGGTTTCTGCAAATGCAATCCAACAGTCTGTGGTCTCAAGCCAGCTAGAAAACTAATCTCCAAACAAAACACCCTTCACTTCAAAAACAGAACTCGGACTATTATCTATCTGAGAAACAGGTAACTATAATGATGAAAACCACAAAGGTGTCTGAGAGAGCTCTCAAAGCTAGTTCCATTGTAGCAGAACCAAATTGAGAGACTCATCATTAAACTGTAATTGTATATGCTGAATGGCTGGGCTACAATGGGGCACCGTTTTGCTTGTTTTTTAATGTAAAAAGTGTACCGCTGTTCAAAAAAAGATGAACAACGCTGTCTGAGAGGAAGATTCTTGCTGCTCTTCTCCCGCTCTCCCTGACCTCCACGTCCCTCTCTCCCCCCCCCTGCAGGGTGAATGTCGGCTGCGGGCCAGCTGAGGAGCGGGTTCTCCTCACAGGTTTACATGCTGTGGCTGACATCTACTGTGAAAACTGTAAAACCACCCTTGGCTGGAAATATGTAAGTCCTTCAACTTTCATCCCAGCTCTTTTCCTGTCCCATCTAAATGTCTATTGATGCACCGTTTACGCCTGCCGCTGCGTTGTTGGGCAACTCAGTGGCTTCCTGGCCTGCTAGGGGACAAATTATGCTATAAAGGGTCGAAGGAACACGGTTTCTCTCGTTAAAGCATTGCTTGTTAAAACCACGGTGACAGTTTTTCTTATTTGCTCAGGGTTATATTTAGGCATAGAGATTAAGCACTCTGTGGTCTCCTAGTGTCGAGGTAATTACAGTGCTTAAAGGTTGGCTCCAGACTGGTACCTCTGAGAGTCTACAGTGATTAAATACCAAGCCATTTCGAAGAGGCTCGTCCCGGTAACTGTCTGACGAGACTATCGAAGGGAGGAAAATAACTCAACAAATGATAAGACAGAGACTCACTTAAAGCTGCTCCATCAGTGACAAAAACAATTAGACTCTTAAAAAAAGCCTCGCAAGCAAAAGCAGAGCAAAGCTGGTTTACAAGGCTGAGCAAATAATCCAGGAGACAGACTCACATGGACAGGAGTCTCTTGGAGCTGAGCGGAACTCATCCAGCACTTCAGGATGTGCTCTCAGACATGGAGTCAGGACATTTGAAAGAGGTGGTTTGGTAGCTAGGAAACGTGTCCTGTTTATCTACAATAATGCATAATGTGGCCAGATAAATGACTGTGCATATTTGTCTTTCTGCCTGTTTGACCCCAAATTAAATGTACTGCCTAGTTACTGCAAACTTTGTTATGTTATGTTAAAGTCAATTAATTTGTTTTTTAAATTCCCTTTGTGGGTAGGCTTACCTATTTGTTTTCCTCTGAGCTTTCAATCATTATCATTAAATCATTTTTACTTTTGCATTAATGTGAAAGCTTGATTTTACTGTCTGTTAAGGTTGAGTGATTCTTTTAGTTTTTTTCTACAGATTAGTGAGTATTATTTTCTCAATATATGTTTTGGAATATAAGGAATGGTGAATCACAGGTCATCCCATGTATTACCTTGCATCCTTCTTTATTTATTTTTAACAAGATCCCCCTTCACCCACCCTCAGGGAACACACCTTGGCAGGTGATGTGTTCACAATACAGCATTTCACAAGTGCACGTTTTCACTTTACCACCATTCTCTTTATCATTATACATGCTTCTGCTGCTTTTGATTAATTGGTTTGTTAATATTTTAAATTGGTGAGAAATGCCTTAGTCACACCTTCACAGTGTGCAAAATGTACAAGCCCTTTTTGATATTGGGCTATAATAAACTTTAAGAATTAAAAAGCAGAAAGTCTTTGCACTTTAGAAGATGGTATGACATATTTTTCTGTCCAATAACAAATGAATGAATCTACTAATGTTTCAGCTTTACTTGTACGTATACTGACGGGTACTCTATTAACAATATATAGGAAATGTATTGGAGCAGAAGTAAACAGGGTATGAAAAGAAGACTCAAGTACCTGAGTATATGTACTCACCACTGCTTGTAACTTTGTCCCTTTCCTGTGTGTTTTTATTTGACAGGAACACGCGTTTGAGAGCAGTCAGAAGTACAAAGAGGGAAAGTTCATCATTGAGCTGGCACACATGATCAAAGACAACGGATGGGAGTGATGCTCCTCTTCTCACTCTCTGACCTTGGAATGCTTTTTAGTGAACTGCATAGAGCGATGACCATCGACCACCTTGCCCCCTCCCGAGCCCCCTTAAAAAGAAAAACTCCACGAACCTCCACCCCATCGCCTCTTTCACACGCACACACACACACCCAGCTGCTCATCGTGAGAGTGACAAAATGGCGACAGAGGAGCAACTGGTGTGCTGTGATTACTTTGAAGAGTGTGTGTTCTCCTTCACAGAGCGGGATTTTTGGGGTCTGCTTTCCTCACTCTCACCCTCCCCTCACCGAACCACGCTAACAAGTGACTGTGGTGTCATGGCGACCACTATGCGAATGGAGATAGACTTCACTGAGAGGACATGTGTTTGTTTTCTTTATGTTGCTCACCCAGCGAGACGGGTGACGATTTATTTTTAATGTTATTTACTATATCTTTATCTTCTGGGTTTAAGGACTTGGTTTGATAGCAGATGGGTGTTACTGGTTAGCATTTTATTTCCTGTCAAGTCTGTCCTGTTGTGTTTTTTTGTTGTTGTTGGTTTTTATTTGTCTCTTTGCCTTTAGCTGAGCATGCTTTTCTTTGCTGATGTCCAAATGAGCAATCAGGGACGGGTGGGGAGCGGAGGGGAAAGGGAGTTTTTTTGTAGTTACAAATATGTAGCAGCATCTTGCTTTAAAAAAAAAAAGATGAAAAAATTGGCGAAGGATGGGATGCAGTAGTGTGGGATGTTATTCCTGATATATCTTTATTGTTTTATCTTTTTTTCTTTCTTGTTAATTTTCTTAACTTCTCTCCCCTTCGGGTACTTCTCAGCACCCAAAAAGCATAAGGAGCAGCACCTCCGATGTGTTGGACATAAATGGATATGTATAACTATAAATATATATATTTAAATATTTGTAGTGTTTGGCTAAGTGCGATTGTGGCTGGTCCCATTTTGCAGCAGTACAACAAGTTAAAAGAAGCGAAAATAGTTTCTAGACTGGGGAACCTGACATCAGTGGCCACATGTCATAAAGCATTAAGGCTAGTAATGAAACAATCAGAGAGACAACTACATATGAATATATATATATATATATATATATATATATATATACACACGCATACTATGGTTACATATCCATAAATGCTATGAAACTGTTCATAGTACGTAAATATTGGAACATGGATTCTGAATATGTTTGCTGTCGTGCACATATGACGTTGTGTATATGCATTGTGTGTGTGTGGTCATGCATTACACAGTGACGTACTTGAACGTTGCTATTTCGTTTGCACTTTGCAGAGGCCTTTGGTTCATCTCAGTTTAGAGGCAAAACTTTAGTTCGCTCTTGTCTGTATTTTTATACTTTAGTTTTTTTAAATGGCCTTTCTCACAGATGAACGACAGATTGTTGTAGACGGAAAGAAAGTTTGACCTGGACAGTTTGAGGTGTTTTCGTAGTTTTTCGTTACGACTGAAGCTAGATGCTTCTACAAGTTTTGGTTTTATTTCAATAAGATCAACAACTGATGCTTTTCCTCTTAGTTTTTCTCGAGAAAAGTTTAGTTTCCGATTCTTTGCCGCTATCGTAGAAATGCGGCCATTTCCTTCTCGCTCTTGTAGGTCTTTTTGCACTTTAAATGCTTATCCGTCTCTCTCTCTTTCTCTTAGAGCATATGAATTGTCTCTTTGTGATTTGCCTCTAAGCCGTATGAATCTTGTGCCTCTTCAAATCTCCCCTCTTATTTTTCTGTTGTGCAGTGCATAACTTGAAAAATCCTTTGTGTGAACGATGTGTCTTCCCCCTTCTGTGGCCCTCAAAAGAATTGTTTTTCACATAGATCCTCATAAAATGTATCTTTTTTCTTTTCTTTTCACAACAGAAACGTATACATAAACACTTTTATTTTCTACATTAAGATTTAGAGGTGCAAAAACAGATGGATATTTCTCAGAGTAAAGCATAGAGGAGGAGGTTTGGAGCATGCGGGATGCCTTAGGCTTGTTGTTTGACTTTTTATTGTAAGGATAACAAAAAAAGTTGGCAGCAGGTGGAGGTTGGGCGGGATGGGAGAAATTTAAAAATCAGCAGTGATTGATTACTTTGCCGGCAAGGTCAGTCAGATCACATGACCTTTTATCCTAAAAAACGATGACAATGCAAACCCATACCTACTTGAACATTTAAAGACATAAACAGCTGAGATATTGGCCCGTGTTAAAGTTTTTGTACATAAACTAACATATTTAAGGTTTTATACGTATTTCTACTGGGTTGGTTCTTTTACTTCCCCAACTTGAAGCACTTTTGTTCACTGTACCCTGTACCTCTGACTGTGTGTGTCTGTGTGAGTGTGTATGCAGGCCTGCACACGAAGGTGAATGTTTAGTTTATTTTCCGCAGACACTTTATTTGTTTCTCTTTTTTTGGTTTGGAAGCGTTTTTATTTGTCCTGATGTTTTCCTTCTTTCGCAGCTGTTTGGTTTCTCTCCCGGTGATCCGTGAGGTCGAGAGCCAGGTTAGTTTGTTTGGAAGTGATGTATCATTGTTTTATGTTGCTTTTCTGTTAGCTTGTTTATTTAGCCTGTTTGGTGAGAGCCCGTTAGAGGGCCGATGTTAAGGTCCCTGCTGAGCCGTGTGGACATAGGGGGGCGAGCTGGAATCTCCCACCGTGTCACAGGGAGACCCTTTCACCACTAGTCAGCAGGGCTTTCAGGGGATGAGACGCACCCTCTGGCGGCCTTTTTGGAGGTTCTTAGCTGTTGTCACCGCTGGCTGTATGTATCTGATTGTATTTCTTAATTTTGCTGGTTGTGACCGAAAATGAATGGTTACTTCCCTGATATATTTGATTTCTTGTTTTGATAAAGTTAGCTTCTTACCTATCGGAGCTCAGTCTCCACATCCAGTTGTGGGACTATTTTTAACTACTCTTCAAATAAAGCACTCAGTATTCCACAATCCACTGCGCACATGTCTTTTTAAAGGGGAACTGTTTTGGCTAACAGTCAGTGTTTCAAATGTTCACCTGGCTGCCATGATTCAGAAGTTTACTTCAGGGGGCGTCGATTGTTTTTACAACTCACTTTAGATCAGTGTTTCTCAAACTTTTTAATTCCAAGGACCACTTAACCAATAAAAAAACACTCGCGGACCACCTAACTCCACAAATATCAAAAGACACATCGTTGTTCTAGAACAGATTACAAATCGCCTGAAAATGGTACAAACAAGTGGCAACATGTGTGATGAAGGTGTTGCGCTGGGCTATATCATGCAATCGAAAGTGAAACTTAACCTCGCTCAATTGCGGAGATATTCCCGCGAGAGTGCGGGAAACTGACATTTATTTATTTATTTATTTCAAATGTGAAATGTTACCAATATACTCACGGACCACTAGTGGTCCGCGGACCACACTTTGAGAAGCACTGCACGCACGCTAACTGCGTTCCTAGAGACACTGCACTCGGAAAATAGCGATGTGAATATTGAAAAATAAATGAGCTAGCCAGCTCCCAACGGAGTCCGTTTAACTAACGCTGGCCAGCCGCCTGCGGTGCTGCTTATTTCTGTAACCAGTGTAGCATGTTAGCATAGTGGAATTGGCTAGCTAGCTTAGTAATATGTTGCAAAAACAATGGATGCCACCGAGGGTGTGTCGCTACCCCTTGACGTCAGTGTCTGGTTGAGTAAAAGGTGCAACAGAGTACATTTCGGACTACACTAATCAGTGATGCAGGGTGTAGAACCTTCAAACAGAAGCATTCAATCAAAACTCCTCAGCCTGGTGTTGTGTTTCTCTTTAATGGTGCATTTAAGCGATTACGAAGGGATCTCATTGATATTTGTGTTCTTGTTTTCATCAGTGCTAGTTAAATGGCTACATTTCATGAACTCTGGTATTCACCACTTTGTGGACCATTTCATGGTGATACACTTGAAAACTACTGAGACTGAAAGTTCAGGTTTGGCTGTCTGTTTTTCAAGAGTCTGATCATATATCATGATCTACCCAAGCAAACAGGAGTTAAAACTGTTCAACCTACATCAGACTCATATCATAAAATGTCTAAATCCAGCCCTTGGTTTAGATTGATAACTTTATGAACCTTTTCCAATGACACTGGTAGATACATTTTTCTACAAACAAACAAAAACTACCTTACCAGACCATTCATGTCTGCCTATGGTAATTGAATGGACTTGTTAGTTGTTCCATGCACAGAGCCAGTTCCTCCAACGGACCAAGGCGCCAGCAGTGGTTGCTCGCAGAGCCTCTTTACTCGCCCTGCGCTCAGTCAGTTTAAGTTGAATCAACAAAAAGCAGTTGCCAGTGTCACCGCCGGTGTGTACCAAAAAGACCCAGGTTCTACCGAATGCATTAGTGTCATGTGTTAATGGCGGGAAGGAAGTCAGGGGTCGAGCGTCTCCTGGAGATTCAAATTCTATACCAAAATGAAAGAGGAGAAATCCTGTCTCGTATGACATTGTCTTTCGGTAGAATGTTTTGATTCTCTGAACACAACAGTGTCAAAGCAGCCTGGATGAAAATGCTAATATTTGCTGCTGAAAAACTGTTTACTTTTTATTGTTATTTTTGTTTTATTGTGACACTGGCTACCAACTTCATAAGCTCTGTTACTTTCTATATCTGTACCCAAAGCGTAATCAAAGGCAAGATTGGTATACAGGGGAAAAGACTGTACAAGTTATTTTCTTAGGGCTTTTAAACCACAGTTAAAAAGCATGTTGTATTTATAATGGCTATATGTTGTGCCTGTTTTATTTTATTTGTTTCCTAAATTTAAAACAAAACTATGATATGCTTTTCATTTGACTACATTGCTTTGCATTCTGTCTGTTTTCACTCTAATGTCAACTATCAGATATCACAATAAATTGTCAATGGCATTGAGTTGTGGATGTGTGAAGTTGTGAATTGTAGGGACTGTTTTGTAAAGGTATTGGAAAGTAAAGTGTGAATATTTATTTAAAAGCATATACTACCTTGTATTTAATCATCAGAAGAGTTTGAATATGTCACCTTTTTTTGCATCTTTTTTATAATAACTAAAGTGTTGAGCAAATTGTCTAACATTTAAAAAATATCTAATATATTTGAGGTCATTTTGATACATTTAAAATAGAGCAAATGTGAAAGCCATTTCACAGTCGGTAAATGTGTGAAAAAGCCACAACACATGACACATTATGAAAACAAACATAATTATGTTGCAGAAGTACAGAGCTAAAAAAAAAGAGGTACTTGTCTGGGGCGGTTGTGCGATTCCTGTGAAAGAGGATCAAATGAACCTTGTCAGTTTCAATATTACAGGCCTGGCAGGAAATATGTCAGAAATTGCCCTTAAAGTATAGAACAATCAGTGGAGCGTGAAATTCACTTGTTGCCCTGCTGATGTGTGGGACTCCGGGAGAGAGGCTGGCAGACTGTCAAGTAATTAGTTTAAAAGAGAGAGACCTGCACAGTTTCCCTAATGCTGCTTCTTTTGTGTTCTTGCTGACCCAGAGGTCAGCTGTAGTTTGCAGCCATACTTCCTCTTCACAGGTTTACACTTCTCAGAACTTCACTCTGGTTAAACGTTGCATATGACCCAGACAAAGCTGTTGAAAAAGGGGAACTAGTTATCTTTCATGGGTTTCAAAGTGTATTCCTCAGATATATGTCCACATGATTTTCTTGAAAACAATTAAGGGCTTACATCAACAAAACTCTATTTAAATACTTTTCTTAAAACTGCTGGAATGTAACTAAGTACAATTACTCAAACTACCCAGCATTATATAATGTAGTTGCAAATATCCTTACCAGCTGTAAAGTTACTACGAAGTTCCTATGATTACACATTAATGATTCAATAATTACATTTCTACATTGTGAAATGAAGCATAATACATATTTTAACTTGTACTTTAAGTTTATTTATTTATTTAATACTTCTACTTAAGTAAGATGTAAGAGTATTTTTACACTGTACAGCTACTTGTAATAAAGTAACATTTGCAAGTATTTGAATACCACTGTATTCCAGAATAATATAACCTTTTAAAATGTCAGGCCAAGATATGAATAAATCAAATAAAAGATCAAATACAATTTGGTGGAAAACAGGTTGTGGTTGTATCCTATATTTGGTTTTTACATACACAGTTTTAATTTTGGTTTCAGGTACTCCACATGATTGAAATGGGAAGGGGAAATGGTCAATGGACTTTCTGAGTCTCTCCAACCCCTCAAAGTGCTTTTTGATACGGTAGTCAGATATACCCATTGACACACATTTATACAGAGGCCACCTGCTTAGAAAAACGTACATTGACAAACATTTACAGCAGTCAATTGATAAACCAATTTGAGTTTAAGTTGTGACTTGTTGACTGCTGGGGTTTGGAATCGAACCACTGACCTTACAATTGGAGTGACCATCTACCTCATGAGCCACAGCTGCGCTACAGGTAAAAATGTTGTATACTGTTTGTGCAAGCTTAATTCATGCAAGTTAGAAACTTGGGTTCTCATCTGTTATCTGTTATCATCGTTTTCTTATTCTGGTTAATGATTCTGTATTCAGATGGGTTATAGCAGACAGCTCAAACAAATATACTTCCTGTTTGGTAAACAGTTTTCCAACGTCTTTGATGATTCATTCATCTGTGAGGCTGCAGCTTGTTTTACTGTGAGTCATCTTGTTTTATACTGAGGGGTGTTTATTTTGACATCGCACTTTTTTTTAAATGAGGACGAGGTCAAATGTATTATAATTAATAAAAAGATCTTTGAAAAATAATTATGATATGTTAAATAATTAGACAATAATAACTAATACATTAATGTGTGCATCACTTTTATCTAAATGTAAACTCAGGAGCGACCGTGCCTTTTCTATTGCAGCCCCAAGACTGTGGTACAGCATCCCCCTCCCTATCAGATCGGCCCCCTCCATTGACTACTTTAAATCCAGGCTAAAAACGTACTTGTATTCTTTGGCGTTTGACTCCTTATCTGGCTGATAGTGCCTATGCCTTTTGTATTTGTTTATTTGTGCATATGAGCTGTGTGTATTAAAGGTCACCTATTGTGCAAAATCCACTTTTCCCTGTCTTTTAAACATAAACATGTCTCCTCTGTGTAAAGAGATTCGGAACGTTTCTGGAAAAAACATTTGCTCTTTTTATCCTGATCCATTTCTATAAAAACCTGTCTGAAAATGAGCTGATCAGATTTTTGCCACTTTATGATGTCATAATGTTTTTTTGGGTTGTGTAACCACTAGCGGCTAGCCAATAACCAGCCGGTAACCCCCCCCCCACCTTATCACCTGAATCTCCTCCTCGAGCTCCATTGTGTTCTTTTTAACCAAATATCTCTCAGTGGGGAGGAGCTCCTTATTTTCATCTAAAGTAACAGACAGAGAATCAGCACTTTTGAAACAGGGCTGAAACAGAGGGGATTATGGGATGCTGCAATGATCTGTTTGGTGTTTGGAGCCAAACACTTCAGAGACAGGTTTTATATCTGAGACCTATAATGTATTGATGAAAAATAGTTTGATAGGGGACCTTTAATGTTTACGTCAGTGTTTTTTTTACTTTTATTTTTTATAAAATGCTCTGTTCTGTACAGCACCTTGGTTAGCGTCGGTTGTTTTTAAATGTGCTCTATATATATATATATATGTGATTGATTGATTTTGGGTGCACTGACCTTTAAACTGTTTGATGGTAAGCTCTGCAGCTGCTCTCATGACTTATGTATGTCCTCATGGCTGCAAATGTTTAACATCTCTGATCCTAAAGTATGATGGGATATCAATAACTGTGGATCCACTTGGATCAGTTTTGTTAGTTCATGTTTCTAAAGGACTGAGATGAGTCCTGCTGCAGCACAGTTATGAATCATCTAATCAGACTTGAGACTTGTTGTGGAGTTGCTATGGCAGTACATACTTAATTCTCGCCTGCATAGTGCTTCCTGTCCGTCTCCGCACTTGTGTTTCTGAGGCTCACACAGCCTTGTTTTTTGATGTCCTTGAGGTGTCTGGCAAGTCTTCAAGCAAAGAAAAAAGCAGCCTGTCAGCCTTTTATTTATCGCACACTCCCTGTCTTGCTCTTAAAGCTACAACACGCAGCATTTTTACATTAGTTTAATAAATCCAAAAGCAGATTGTGTTTCTTATCGATGTATGCTATGAGTGTAATAAGTTCATAGAGTTTTGATTGTTTCAGAATTTTACCTTATTTTGTATGAAATTGTTCAAACTATGTGAATTCTTGAGTTATAGTCAGAAACGTGTTTTTTTAAGGTCACAGTGACAATGACCTTTGATTCCGAAAAACGAATCAGTTCATATTTGAATGCAAATGGGTGTTGGTGATATAACATTTCTGAAGTGGGGTGTTGGGGCGCATAATTACTTTCTATCTTTCGTACTCCCAAGCTGAAAAAGTGTGGGCACCACTGCTGTCCTGGATGGATATCCTCGTGGATTCATCTTCCTATTATACACACACATGCATTTCCAAACATTTGGACTACCTATGCTGTAAAATGTATTATCTTTTCAATTTACACACGGCATCTATTGCACGTCTGTCCGTCCTGGGAGAGGGATCCCTCCTCTGTTGCTCTCCCTGAGGTTTCTCCCATTTTTCCCTTTAAACTGTGGGTTTTCTCCGGAAGTTTATCCTTGTACGATGTGAGGGTCTAAGGATAGAGGGTGTCGTATTGTCATACTGATATTCTGTACACACTGTGAAGACCACTGAGACAAATGTAACATTTGTGATATTGGGCTATATAAATAAACATTGATTGATTGATTGATTGTTATATAGGTTTTTGTGCATTTAAATGGTCTGCAAAGGCTATAATTTCAAAGTTCCCTCCAGAGGGAGTTTCTCTACCACACTCCACCCCCCCCTCCATTGGACTACTTTGTTTACTTTAGTCGAGTAATGACATCTAAACACAACAATCACGCTTCTATTGGCTAGCTTTCCAACAAATTGTACATGATAGGCTAATTATCTCTAAGAGGTTGACCAATTACATTTCATTTAGCTGACGCTTTTATCCAAAGCGACTCACAATTACCAATTATAGGGACATTCTCCCTGGAGTAACTAAGGGCTAAGTGCCTTACTCAAGGGCACACTAGTGGTGGTGTTCCTGGCGGGATTTGAACTCACAACCTTCCGATCTTCACCCCACCTCACTATCCATTAGACCGCCACTATCCAATCTCAGGAGAGCCGGCCAGCTTACCAATCAGAGCAGACTGGGCTCTGGTTTCAGACAGAGGGTGAAAAGAGGTGCTGCAGCACAGGCAGTGTGAGAATAATAAATGCCTTTTTGAACATGAAAGCATGGAAACAAGTCACAGTAGAGGCACTAAATACAAGTATGAACCTGAAAATGAGCATCATGGGGCCCCTTTGAATAAAACACCTGAGTACTTTGTCCATCTCTGCATTAATCTTGTATATTTCCTAAATAAGATTATATTCAGTGTTCAGGCCTGGTTCTCTAGAAATAATATTGCATCTTTTACAAAATACTCAGGCTGGAGGCGACTGAGCGGTGGATGCTTTTATTCCAGGTACCCCGTGGTACTTTGAGTGCATATATATTTCAGAGCTGCAGGCCCCCAGTGTGAATCAAATGTAACCTCTACTTTGTGATGAGCAGACACTGTTTACACAGAGAGGGGGTCGGGGAGTGGGTTTGTTGTGATGGCTGCAGAGAGACAGGATGCAGTGGTGTTGGCTGTCTGTCGGCGGGTGTTATTCTCATGCTCACAGTCCTCATGTCTCCTGACCTACTTCTTCGCCATGCTCGGTCACACAGCCCAAGCTCCTCCACAGGAGGGTCTCTCTGTGGGGGGTGGGGGGGT